TCCTTTGAGCTTCAAAAATGCCGCCTTCGAGCCCTGCCTCTTTTCTCAGCAACTCCGTAAGTGGATTCGTTATAGTCGCATAGCCCACGATGAATCTCCGGAAAGAGCTCGTTAATCCCAGAAACCTCCGCACTTCAGTCACGTTTGTGGGTTTTGGAAATTTCTCGATCGCTGACACCTTCCTCATCCCTGGTTTGACTCCCTGCTTGGATATCTCGAACCCCAGAAACGAAACCGATCTCATAAAGAATTGGCATTTGCCCAATCGAACCGTCATTCCGGCCTGTCTCGAAGCCTCCAGTACATTGTGAATTTGATCCATCTGCATTTGATAACCGTCGGCTGCTGTAATCAAGTCATCTAGATATGGATGCACCTGCTTGCCACCGGCCAATTCTCGAACCTTCATCCTTACTTCTTGGAATTTCGCTGGTGCTCCACTCAACCCCATCATCATCACCACTGGCTCAAAGTGTCCGTCCGTCGTTACGAATACTGCCTTCTCTGCTGACTCTCTCGACATACCTATTTGGAAATGTCCCCACGCGCGATCAAAAGTCGAATATTATTCCCGTCCACCCTGTTCTTGCAGAATATCATGAATCAGCGAGAGCGGAAAGTTTGATCGGACTGTTTGAGCATTGAGTTTACTGTAATCGATAACCATTCTATAACTTCCGTCTGGTTTTCTGACCAGCATAACGGGACCAGGGCTTTTGAATATGGACTGATTTAAAGTTCTACTGTGCATTAGCACCTGTCGGCGATCCAAATGTGGCAGGGCTGGTTCCAAGGAAATAGCGACTCAGATAGTATCGCATGTGTCCCTGACTCCTCGCCCCACCCAAAAAAACACCTCATGCCCCATCTGAGGGCATGCGCCTCCTTTCGGAGAGCTATGAGTGGCAGAACTCGGATGGGCAACAAAGTCCGGAGCTTGAGCCCAGTCATATTGTGCAGCGGAGAGCCTGACGGGAGGCTCCGAATAATTCTTTTAACTTACACTTGTGATGCACTCGTCTCGCCTGGACAACCACAAACCTTCGCGCAGAAAGCTCCGAACAGCTAAAGCTTGGAAGAGCTAAGCTCTGAGCCTTTCTGATACTCATTCCCGTCGCCCGGCGGGGGGCAGCTTTTTCAGCAGAAAAACTCACTTCTGGGCTCCTTACACCTCGAGCGCTGATTCTGATGAAGTTTCCCATGGTAGCTCGCGCCAAGCTCGGGCCAAGGCGTAAGCTACGGAGCCCGCTCAGAAACTTGACTACTGAAGGATCGGAACGCCAGGCGCGAGAAGTTGCCGACATATTTTTTGATCCTCCCACCCACTGAAGTGACTATGACGTGAACGGTAATTTTGAAGATGAGTTTTGGGGGGGGGGCGGAACTTCCGGTCTCCACCGACGGGAAGGATTCGGAGCACCGAGGAACTGATGACGATCACCTGGCTTCCTCTGGAGTAGAGAGCAATAATTGGTCCGCTGCAAGAGGTCGATCGCTCGGAGTTCAGAACGATATGCGAGTCCTTTTGAGCATCGATGTTCGAATCGCTGACCCAAACCTGTGGACGTGGAAGATTCACACCCGGCGACCCCCCAGACACCCGGCGACCTCATCATCACGCGTCAACCATTAGCGTATACAGGGGGGAAGAATTCGGGGAGGGGAGGGGGGAGCGAACGGGCCACAAACACTCGACAAAAAGCTGTTTTTGCCATGAGTCACGAGCACTTGCAGAGCGAACGGAGCTCGGAATCGTGAAGGCGCCGAGTCAAGGTTCCAATCCAGACTATCTGATCTCGACAGTGACTGAGCTCATGGGGCTGAGACTTCAAGTTTGAAGAGGTTCAACATCCTCGGCTCTCATACAACGTATTTTTTGGAGTAGAGCTACCGGGTATCCGGGTAGGGTCGATTGACGTCTATACCCGTGTTTCCGCGAGGAAACTCCGTGAGGGAATTTTTCCGACGTCGTGATTCTAACCCCTCCCTCAGTCAGGCCGCTGCAACCCATGATGTTAGTCGCACGATCGCACAAGAAGTGCCAGACGCGCTAAGTGCTCAGCTACTTGTCGGCGTATCCTTCAGTAGTCAAGTTTCTGAGCGGGCTCTGTAGCTTACGCCTTGGCCCTAGCTTGGCGCGAGCTACCATGGGAAACTTCATCAGGATCAGCGCTCGAGGTGTAAGGAGCCCAGAAGTGAGTTTTTCTGCTGAAAAAGCTGCCTCCCGCCGGGCGACGGGAATGAGTATCAGAAAGTATTCGACCTATGGCGATCGAACGAGTGAGCAGACGAACCGCTGCAAACAAGTTTTCTTGCCCACATGTCGACCGGAAGTTGAACAGCATGTCTTAGCATTTTGCACAGAAGTTAATTGACGAAGAGTAGGAGGCTGTTATTACTATCATTGGAGGCAGCATGTCTAATACCCAGCACCTCAATGTCGGTCTGGTGCATTGGGATCTTAGCAATGCATCCCGGTCAATGAAGTCGCTTTTTTTAATTAGGCGCCTGTGGATTCCGGGACGTCACACATCCGCGGAATTTTCCGTTACACTGTTTACTCAAGTGAGCCTAAAGACGTGTCCCACGTCAAAACAGGGTCGTCGGAGTCGATTCTTCCTGCGTTGGACGCGGGTAGCGTCCCGTATATTCAGTTGGAATCGCGGGTTCCATGTCTGTCTAGATGGATAAGGCAAAATTTTATCACGGGTAACGGCTGTGTGATTGAACAGGTATTTCTACTTGGAGATCCACAGGAACGGATGAAAAAGCCTTCAGATTGTCATCCGGGAAGCCTACTGCTATTCTCACCTTACAGCCTCTGAACTGCGGTCCTCGACGACTTGATTCTTCTCGAGAAACTGGAACGACTTCGACGTAGAACAGCCGAAGATGTAGATTGAGTCTCGAGTTTGATTTTACAGGGACTCACAGATCTCCGATCAAAACGAAGGTTGGGTGTCGAGCAGTTAATGCGTCGACTATGTAAGTCGGCGCGGCGGCAAAAATGCGTCGTTGATGTGACTTGGTGTGGCGGCAAAAATCCTTCTCCGGGTAGCAGTGGTATCCGAATGCTTTCGTTGGAAGTTAGTAGTGATGCTTGAGATTGTCGAGACATCGGGAATTGAGCCCTCATAACGCGGCAGAGTATAGATGGGGTGCAGCTGAACATACGAAGCAGAGTAAGGCGAAGAGGATTGCTCGTCGATAAGCGGAGCACTCGAAAAGCGTCGGCTCGAACTCATCTGGCAGTTGATATGGTTCGGAACCCGGGCATCAGAGGTGAGATGTCATTGGAATATTCCTGCGTGAACGATGTTCTCCAGTCGCCTGGGCGAGCCGAAAATGTGCATATTATCGGGATTGGTGACCCGCGACAACGCTGTATACAATTGGCCGTGACCGATAATGTTCTCCGGGAGGTACTTCCCTCAATTAGAGAATGTCTGGTTCAGAGCTTCGTTTATGGTTATGACGAACGCCAAACGCAATGGGAATCTGTTGAAATCTGTCTTTCCCGTTCTCGTTGTCACTACGCTTAGCTAGACTCCTACGCAGTCTTAGTTCCGTTTCGCTCAATTGAGTAACCGTGTACAAACGTGCTCCGCTTCAATAGAGATCATTGGGCATAGTCTGGTGACCGACAGTTTGAGCGCGAGTGGAGTTGAGCGCAACGTAAATCTAAGCGCGAAGTTAATCCGAGCGCGAAGTGAATCTGAGCGCAGAGTAAATTTGAGCGCAATGTAGGTTTGAGCGCAGCGGAAGACAGAGCGCTGGTGAATTTGAGCGCAGAGTAAGTCTGAGCGCAAAGTAAGTCTGAGCGCAAAGTATCTCTTAGCGCTGAGTGAATTTGAGCGCAATTAGGTTTGAGCGCATCGGAAGCCTGAGCGCAAAGAAAATTTGAGCGCGAAGTGGATCAGAGCGCGAACTTAGTCTCATGACGAGGAATCTGGACTTCTCAGATTCGGGTCCCGTAATTTTATTTATTCTCGACAACTGTAGTGTTTATTGTACCTGTCATTTTCCAAGTGTCAGATCCTATCCGTGATTACAGTTCAAGACGAAATATTCTGCGCGATTGCCCTCAAGAAGTTTAAAACACTGCTGTTCCCATAGGACGATGTTATTCCGAACAACCTTTTCTGGCGGTCTCGATAAATCCGTTTATCAGGAGCCCCAGGCCCCTGAGCGAGGGAGTTGGCGATGACAAACTTGGTCAATCCCTGCTCGATTTTGAGCTGCTTGACTAGTTTGAAGAAGGTCGGATTTGTCGCCCCAAGTCTGCCGTTAAATGCTGAGTGCCAGCCTTCGATTGCATCGTTGGTGCGGCCTACAGCAGACACGGTGGCCTCATGAGCGTTCCACGAACCTATCTTCATGGTAGCAGGATTCCGCGGGCGACCTATCCACGTCGCCTCAAAGTAATTTATGAAACTCGTCAGGAGGTAGTTATTCTCGCGAATGGAGTTCGATTCCAACAAAGTATCGAAGGCGGATCGCACATCATGCCCGGGAACGAATGCGATGGCCGCGAACATGCGA